TCTCTAGGAATTTTCGAAATCCTTGAATCATGGAAGAATCTTCAGATTTTAGGTTCTTCATTTTTTAGAATGTTGAGAATCCTTGTAGTCTTTCTCATCCCTGGAATTTATTGAATTTTTGCGATATTCGCGATTTCTGGAAATTATAGGATCTTGTAATTCTGTAAGATCTCAAAAAGTAAAGAACCTTGGAAATCTTTGATTCATTGGAATAATTTTCAGAATTTCAGGATCCTTAAGTTCTTCGAGGCGTTTAGAATAATGAGAATCTCTAAAATCCCAAAAATACAAAGATTTTGAAAATCTTTGAACCGGTGGAAGAATTTTTAAAATTTCTGGACATTTAAGCAATCCAAAATCGTAAGAATTCTTGAAATACTTATTTCGTATCGCAGGAATGTATTGAATTTTCGCAGTACTTATGATTTTTGGAATCCACAGGGTACACAGATATCTAGCATTTCTAGAATCTCTGGGGTCTTTAAAATATCCCAAAGTTAAAAGATTTTGGAAATCTTTGAATCATTGGAAGAATCTTCAGAATTTCAGAATTTCCAGCTCTTCGATGTCTTTGGAGGGAATTTTTCATATCCCGGAACTTTATTGATTTCCTGCAGAATTATATATGTAGGATTTGTGGAGTATCTATAATTCCTAGGACCTCTAAAATCTGCAAAAGTTACACGAATTCTGGGATTCTTTAAAACATGAACGAATTTTTAGAATTTCAGGAATTTCAAGATCTTCAGCATGGTGAAAATCACCCATAATTGTTCGCATCCCTGCCATTTATTTAATTTCAGCAGTATTTATGATTTCTAGGATCTTTAAATTCTACAATATAGCTAGGATTTCTGCAATATCTATGATTTGTAGGATTTCTAGGATCTACAAAAACTCAAAAAATACAGGGATTTTGGAGATCTTGAACTGCTGGAACAATTTTCAAAATTTCAAGATTTTTAAGCTCATCAAAATCGGGAGAATTGCTGGGATTTTTCGCATTCCTGCAATGTATTGAATTTCTGCGGTGTTTAGGATTTCTAGAATCCTCAAAATCTGTAGCAGATCTAGCCTTTCTCGAATTTCTAATTCCAAAAGTTAAAGAATTTCGGAAATAGTTGAATCATTTGAAAAATCTTCAGAATTTGATGATCTTCACGCTCTTCGGGGTTTTTAGAATGATGAGAACCTCTGGAATCTTTTGCATCTCGGAAATTTCTTGAATTTCTGTAGAATTTGCGATTTCTATAGTATCTCTAGAAATTCTGGAAATCTTTGAATCATGGAAGACTATTCTCAGAATTTCAGAATCTCCAAGATTTTCAGAATGATGAGAATCTCTGGATTTTTTCGCATTCCTGGAATTTAATGGATTGCTGTAGTATATATGATTTCTAAGGAGCCTTAAGGTCTATAGTATATATACGATTTTTGAAATATCTAGGATTTCTAGTATCTCTAAAATCTCAAAAATTGCAAGGATTTGAGAAATTTGTAAACCGTTAGAAAATTTTTCAGAATTTCAAGATTCCTAAGCTCGTCAAAATCGTAACAATTCCCGGAACATTTCACATCCCTGGAATGTATTACATTTCTGCACTTTTTATGCTCTCTGGAAGTCTAGCATTTCTCGAATTTCTAACCAAAAGTTAAAGGACATTGGAAATTTTTGAATCATTGGAAAATCTTCAGAATTTGATTACCTTCAAGCTCTTCGAGGTCTTTAGAATGATAAGAGCCGCTGAAATGTTTTACATCCCGAAAATTAATTTAATTTCTGCAGAATTTATGATTTCTAGGATGCTTTCAGTCTATAGAATTCCTAGAAATTTTGGAAATATTTGAATCATATAAGAATATTCAAAATTTCAAGATTTCGAAGATCTTCAGAATAGTGAGAATCTCTGGAATTTTTTCGCACCCGCGGAATTTATTGACTTTCTGCACTATTTATGTTTTTAAGATCCTTAAGGCCTATAGTATACCATCTATGATTTCTAGGATCTCTAAATGCTCAAATATTACAGGGATCTTGGAAAATTTTTGGAAGAATTTTCAGAATTTCAGGATTTTCTAGCTCTTCAAGGTTTTCAGAGTCGTGAGATCTTTATAATTTTTCGCATCCCTGGAATTTATTGAATTTTTACAATATTCACGATTTCTGGAAATTTTACATTCTCTAAATTCTGTAAAATCTCAAAAATTGAAAGTGCTTGGAAATCTTTGAATCATTGGACTAATATTCAGAATTTCAGATATTTCAAGTTCGTCGAGGTCTCTAGAATGCATTTTGCATAATTTTTGATTTCTGTGATCCTCAAGGTCTATAGTATCTCTAGGAATTTTCGAAATATTTGAATCATAGAAGAATCTTTAGAATGCCGAGAATCCCTGGATTTTTTCTCATCCCTGAAATTTATCGAATTTCTGCACTTTTCCTGATTTCTAGGATCTTTAACTATTTACTATAGCATATCTACGATTTTTGGAGTTTCTAGAGTTTCTAGGATCTTTAGGTTCTCAAAACTCAAAAGAGACAAGGATTTTGAAAATCTTGAATCGTTGGAACAATAATTTTCAGAAATTCAGAAACTTTTAACACTTCAATGTCATTACTTCATTAGGATCGTGAGAATCGTTGCAATCTTTCCCATCCATGGAATGTATTGACTTTCTGCAGTAGTTATGATTTCTGAAATCCTTGAGGTCTATAGTATACCTAGAATTTCTGGAATTTCTAGAACCTCTAAAATCTGTAAAATCTCAAAAGTTAAAGAATTTAGGAAATCTTTGAATCGTTGAAAAATCTTCAGAATTTTAACCTTCAAGCTCCTTAAAGTCCTCAGATTAGTGAGAGTCTCTGGAATCTTTAGCATATCTGGAATTAATTGAATTTCTGCAATATTTGTGATTTCTAATATCTTTAGTATGCGGTTCTCCGTTGAGTTAAATATGGCTCCCTTTGAAAATTTATATATATTTCTCATCAAATCTTATAACTTATTACAGTGAGTAGGTAACTAATATTTTGTTTTTTATGTCCATTACCACAGGGGTCTATTATTGGGCCTATATTATTTTTTATATACCATATAATTAAGTACTTCTTCCAAATAATTAAGTACTATAGGTAGAATAAACGACCATATGGAACTCCAAATTAATGCAATAAAAATCTGATGAGGTATTAAACCCTAGTTGTATTTTTTAGATAAGTCATAAGTTTTATGTTAGGCGACTGAAAATTATAAAAGTACATATTGAGAGCTAAGAAATGGGCTATCTATAGTTCTTGGTGCTTAAAGTGCCATATTAAAATGCCTTTTACAGATTTAATAAAATATATATCTTTGGAATTATTATTTCTTAAGCTGTCAAACATATGGAAAAACGTCAAAAGTTGGACTTTTAAGTTTTTGCACAAAGTCCTTGAACCTACAAACCTCGGCTGGAAAATATACCCAATCGTATCTTTTTTGAAAAATAAGTCAATTCTGCATATCCTGGGTGCATCAAGTCTCAAATGAAATAAAGGAATTATGTTTTTAAACGGGTTTGGTACCGAGAGAGCAATAAAAAGCACGATAAAAAACAGCCATGGATATTTGAAAGTTTGTCTTTGACCGTTGCTTTTTCAATTCAAACTTTCAAATTGACAAAAATTCTACCAAAGACAATTCTTTAAACATTTTTTGCTCTTTCGGTAGTTTTTTTTTGTATTTCCAGTGGTGTAGTACTTTACGCTTTCTCACTAATACCTCACATCTCAACTCAAAGAGTGATTTCTTGTTAACAGAATATGGAAGTAAAACAATAGGTCTGCTATCAGAATGCTCTTAATTCCTTATCCCCATCGTGATTCCTAAACGACACCCTGACAAAACACAATCACATTATAACACCCCCAGCGAAAATTACAGAAATCACCCCACTGTCAAAGGCGACCAGCCGCCAGAATTAGCCGGCTGGAAACGGAAACAGCCAAGGTAAGCTAAGAGCAGCATATACGAATAAGTGAAGCCAGACCCGGATTTAACGGTAAGTACGTCCAATGCTAATAGAAGTTAAAGGTCAGGATGGTGACCCGAAAATTCGACGAGGAAAATGGTCGAAAAGCCAAAACGTCGGCTCGAACACAACGACATAACACCGGCAAACAAGAAAACCATGGGGAATGTCTAAACAAAACTGCCACACATGTCATATAGACACAAGTAAATTATGTTTAGGGACAGAAATGGATTTCCGTGTGGTGTAAATTTGCAAGATACATAATAAATACAAGTGTTCATTATAGTTGTCTAATTAGAACGTATCAAGTTAGAACTATGAGAATACTTCATGTTGGTTTGAGGTGGTTAAATACTCTGCAGGCCGAACACATATTTCATGAGGACCTTATAAAAAACTTTCCGTTCTAATGCATTCTCGACTTGGCTAGGCCAGTTTTTGCAAGAAGTCGCATTAAATATGCAAAAAATCGGTGAATAATTTAATGCCCCTCGCCTCCCTAGAAGCCGGCACTCGTGGTGTCCACGATTTAGGAGTGGAGCCGTTCGGACAAATCGAATGAGACGGGTCGCCGTATAGCGCTTGAGGAGCACGCGCTAACTGATGATGTAAAAGGTATACGATAGGTAAAATGAAAACATGCCCTGCCGGTATCTAGGAATCAGAGAAGCTGTGCACGTCCCTAGTCTGTCGAGACCCGAAAAAGCCCGCAGCAAATTCAACTCACGAACAATTCCTCACTCCTTTCTGAGGAATCGCACTTCCATTTTCAAGTTTGTTTTCTTCGCTCCTGCTCCTTTATTGTTTATATATGGGCTGGCTGTACGCTAATGTTATTATTTTTCAGACGATCCATGGAATCGATTCCGCCGACATCATGCATACCCGAATCAGACAAAGAAACTCGATTTCAGACGCGGTCCCTCGCCGTTCCCGAGATCCAATAATCCTTCCCAAAGCAATCCATCAACTCAGACCCCACTTACCTTGAATGTTCGCAGGTTGTCGACCACGCAAGCCAGAAGGGCGTCCCTGCCCACGGTTACCGTCACGTTGGAGACGGCCTCAGCAAAGCGCGGGAAGCTTTCTGGAACAACACCACTTAATTCAGGGACCTAATTTATGCACAGACATCACACAAAACAAACAATCTCCGCCGACCGCACAGCTCACACCGGCGAGCAAATTTTACAAAGAAAAATTTTTAACCCTCAACTTGGCAAAACCAGAAGAGGGATTAAAAAAATTTCTTTCTACGTTTCGATACATATGTGCAAGTCACAAAGTAAAAAAATTGATCGAATATTATTTCGACCAAACTTCCCTCGCCCATTTTTCTACACAGTATTACGCTACTGGATTCTCAAATTTTCGGGAAAATGGAGTGAGTCGTTGAAATGAAATAAAAAAGCATTTATAAGTACTCGTAATTTAAGACAAATAATTATAACGCTTGTCGAGACTCTGTACATGTGAGCGTGAAACAGAGAAACTAAACTAAACGACATTTTCTACGAATCGCAATAATCATAATGTGATGCTCCAGACTAAAGGTCGTAAAACGTAGAGAAAATATTAAAGTACCAATTCGCCCGATGGACTCTATTACTATACTCTCTTAGTTTACTATCAATAAGCAAAATGGCCTCTCAGCAATAGTAACAATTTGAAATGTTTATGTTTACCTACATCTCGGAAGAATGTCATGCAGAAATTAGTACGATTTGAATGAGTTTGTCGCCTCATAACACAGGAATAAAATGATTAATTAGGCCACAGTCGAATAAAATTTGAATAATATTATTACAATTCTTATTTAATCATTATTAAATAGAGATGCGCGAATTCACACATTTTCGGGAAAATCCGATGACTGAAATTAGAGAGTGATTAATTGTATTATGTAATTTTATCTAATTAAAAAATTGGTTAAAAGTTATTTCAACTTCTTTAAACAAGGACAATTGGGGCTTCCGAGAAGGTTTCACATACTAAAAAACACATTTGGCGTCCTCGGGAAGGTTTTACATTTTTAAAAAAGACAATTGGGACCTCCGAGAAGGTTTTACAATTTTAAAACCGACAATTGGGACCCCCGAGAAGGTTTCACATTCTTAAAAAATGACATTTGGCGTCCCTCGAGAAGATTTCACATTCTTAAAAGAATACATTTGGCGCCCCCGAGAAGGTCTTATACTCTTAAAAAACAGTGGGGACCCCCGAGAAGGTATCACAGTAAAAAAAAAATATTTAACGCTTCCGACAAGATTTCACATTCTAAAAAAAAAAAACAACTGGCGCCCCCGAGAAGGTTTGAAATTCAAAAAAAAATACATATGCCGTCCCCGAGAAGATTTTACATTTTTAAATAAAGAAGGGCGTATTCTCATCTTTTCGTGAAAGCGGGGTAATTTCATAAATAAAAAAATTGTTATGACATCATAGATTATAGATAACACACAAGGCGAGAGAAAAAGAATTCTGAACAATTATAAAAAAAATGTGATCTTTATCTTCCGATAACCTCTATAAATTAAAAACCAGTGGCGTAGATGTCACTCCCACAGATTTTTTTACTTGAATTTCCCAATTTTTCATTTTTTTGTTTCTTCAGTTTTTCGATTTGTAACTTTTCGAGGTTTGAAGTTTAATTTTTTCAGTTTTTCAATTTTCCAAATTTTGAATATTTCAGTTTTTAGGTTTTGCAGTTTTTCAATTTGAGTTCCTCGAGTTTACAATTTTGAATTTTTCAGTTTTTCGATTTGCAAATTTTCGTTTCGGTTTTTTATTGTTTAATTTTTTAAGTTATTCGATTTTTCAATTTTTCATTTTTTTGATTTTGCAATTTTTCGATTGTCCAAATTATCAGTTTGTAATTTTTCGTTTCAGTTTTTTATTTTGTTTATTTTTACAAATCTTAAGATGTGAACTTTGAATAATTATAAAGAAATTTGCGGTTTTTATTTTCTCTATAAAGTAAAAACCAGTGGCGAAGATAACACTCCCACCGATTTTTTGACTTGAATTTTCCGATTCTTCAATTTTTCTCTGCTTCTTCAGTTTTTCGATTTGTATATTTCCGAGTTTTCAAGTTCAAATTTTTCAGTTTTTCAATTTTGAATTTTTCGGTTTCTAGATTTTGCAGTTTTTTAATTTATTCGATTTTCCAATGTTTCGATTTTATAATTATTTATAATTTTTCAATTTGCGATTATTCAATTTTTCATTTTTTTGTTTACACTTCAATTTTTAGATTTCGCAATTTTTCGATTGTCCAAGTATTCAGTTTGTAGTTTTTCGTTTCGGTTTTTTTAATTTTCTTTATTTATACAAATCTGAGATTTTTCAATGCTCCGATTGTTTTTAATTTTCCAGTTTCAATTTTTCACTTTTTAGATACTTTAATTTTCCGATTTGCAATTTTTCAATTTTTCTTTTTTTTTGTTTCTTCAATTTATTGACATGCAACTGTTGGAGTTTTCATTTTAAATTGTTTAGTTTTTGGATTTCACAACTTTTGGATGTTTCAATTTTTAGATTTTTAATTTTTTTGATTTTGAATTTCACGAATTTTGATTTTTTAACTGTTCAAATTTTTGATTCCCCTATTTTTTCAATTTCAATTCTTCCAATTTTAAGATTTTTCATTTTTGAGTTGCAATTTCTCTAGTTTTCATTTCAAATGTGTAATAATAATAATTGTAATTTTAAAATGTTTTCATTTTTTCAATTTTACCGATTTTCAGTTATTGAGTTTTAAAACATTTCCATTTTTCGTTTTTTAATTTGTCCATTTTGATTTTTCAATTTCTTGACACTGGATAGGAGAATTTAAACTTTTTGATGTTTCAATGTTACCGTTTTTCAACATTACCATTTTGACGATTCCATAATTTTTCGATTTTAAAGTTTGTCGATTTTTAATTTTTCGATCTGTGATTTTTCAATTTTTCATTTTTTTGTTTCTTCAATTTTTAGATTTTGCAGATTTTCGATTGTCCAAATTTTCAGTTTGGAATTTTTCGTTTCGGTTTTTATATATTTTTTTATATTTACAAATTTTCGATTGTCAATGCTGCGATTGTTTTTTTATTTTTTCAGTTTCAATTTTTTCAATTTTTAGATACTTTAATTTTCCGATTTGCAATTTTTCAATATTTCATTTTTTTGTTTCTTCAATATACTGACATGCAACTGTTGGAACTTTCATTTTAAATTTTTCAGTTTTTGGATTTCACAACTTTTGGATGTTTCAATTTTTAGATTTTCAATTTTTTTGATTTTCAATTTCACGCGTTTTGATTTTTTGAGCTCTTCAATTTTTTGATTCACCAATTTTTTTTTTCAATTTTAATTTTTCCAATTTTTAGATTTTTTATTTTTAAATTGCAATTTGTCTAGTTTTCATTTTAAATATGTAATAATAATTGTAATTTTAAAATGTTTTCACTTTTTCAATTTTACGATTTTATAGTTTCAACAATTTTCAGTTATTGGGTTTTAAAATTTTTCCATTTATTCGATTGTTAATTTGTCCATTTTTATTTTTCAATTTCTCGACACTTAATAAGAGTATTTCAATTTTTTCATCTTTCTATGGTACGGTTTTTCAACATTACAATTTTGACGATTCCATAATTTTTCGCTTTTACAACTTTTGGGTTTTTCAATTTTTCGATTTGGCTTGTTTTTTCTTTTTCCACTTTTGCGATTCATTAATTATTACTTTTGATTTTAGTTTGTCGGTTTTTAATTTATTTTTCAATTTTTCATTTTTTTGTTTCTTCAATTTTTAAATTTTGTAGTTTTTCGATTGTCCAAATTTTCAGTTTCGGTTTTTTATTTTTTTTTATTTTTACAAATCTTAGATTTTCAGTGCTCTGATTTTTCTTTTATTTTTTCAGTTTCAATTTAATTATTATGCTCGTGACTGAGTGCTTAAAGGATATTATCCTCCGCTCTTTAATTTTCATTTAAATAAATAATAAAAAAAAAATTCAATTTTTAGGTACTTTAATTATCCGATTTGCAAATTTTCAATTTTTTTTTGTTTGTTTTGACATGCAACTGTCGGAGTTCTCCTTTTAAATTTTTCAGCTTTTGGATTTCCAATTTTTGAATTTTGTTTCAATTTTTTTATTCTCTTTTTTTTTAAATTTTAATTTTTCCAAGTTTTAGATTTTTTGATTTTTGAATTGCAAATTGTCTAGTTTTCATTCTCAATATGTAATAATAATTGTAATTTTAAAATGTTTTCACTTTTTCAATTTTACGATTTTATAGTTTTACCGATTTTTGGTTATTGAGTTTAAAACTTTTCCATTTATTCGACTTTTAATTTGTCCATTTTTATTTTACAATTTCTCAATACTTAATATTTCAATTTTTGGATTTTTCAATGTTGCCGTTTTTCAACTTTACAATTTTGACGATTCTGTAATTCTTCGATTTTACAACATTTGGGTTTCTCAAATTTTCAGTTCCGCTCGTTTTTTCTTTTTTCCGCTTTTTCGATTCATTAATTATTATTTTTGATTTTAAAGTTTCTCGATTTTTAATTGTTCAATGTTTCAATTTTTTGTTTCTTTAGATTTTCGATTTACAATTATTCGATTCTGCACTTCTTCTACTTTGCAATTTTTCGTTTTTTCGATTTTTCGATTATTTAGTTTTTTCGAATTTTTAGTCTTTTAATTTTCCAACATTTCGAATAAAAAAAGCAAATTGGTGAAATTGGAAAATAAGAAATGAAAAAGCAAAAGAGTATAAAATGAAAACTTTGAAAAATCTAAAATTTCGCAAAATCGAAAGATTAAAAACTGAGAAACCGGAATACGAAGAAATGAAAAATCGGAAAGTCCGATAATTCAGAAATCCAAAAATCACAAAACTGAAAAATTTAGAAATTGGAAAACCAGAAATTTAAAAAAAAATCAAAAAGATTGAAAATTTGAACAATTGGATAAAAAAATAATTAAGAGGCATAAATAACACCCCTTGTCCTTCAGCAGTAGGTAAGAGCAATCTGAAGCTCAAGTCCTTATTTATATTTATACTTCGAAAGAATGTCACGTAGAAGTTAGTTCG